ATTATATCTTTGTCTTGTCCATGCTGCTTCCATTCGAAGCTCAAACCCAGCTTTCACCAAGAAGGCTTCGAAAACCTCTAGGACTACTAAGGCTGCCGAATCATCTCGTCGTATAGTAGCGGCTCCTCTTAGTTCTTTACCACAAATATCCTCAAACGCATAATTTTGTCTGTAGTTCATAGTGTTCGGACAACGCGACTGCAGACGAAGCGGGTCCACCCACATATAACAATGGTAGTGAAAGCGCAGGCTCGATAAGCTCAAACGGAAGATGAGGGGTTGTTGGGGCTGCTGCTAGTGCTGAAGGATCTACGTTTGAAACATAGTAGCAGACTTCTTGAAACCGAGCCAGATCTTGGCTACAGCGGCCGTAGTAGCACTGCAAATGGCGGGTACGAGAGTCGCCAACTCCTCCGGCCGTCTCCCCACTTCGCCTTACATCAGCCAGAGTGGCTTTCTCTCTCTAACAAACAGGGACAAGTTTTCTCGCTGCCCTTAGCAGAAGTATACAGCCGCCCCGCTGTGGTCGACATATATATATATATATGTTCAACGGTTGGGTAGAACTGCATTTCCGGATAACCTACAGGGGGGGGGGGGGGTGTTAACGGGTAGCCTCAGGGTTCCTCAAGGCGTTGGACTTCAGATGGGGCCGGCGGCAGCGGCTCCGGACGTGGACGGAGTAGGCTGCATAACGTATGCAAATTGGACATTGTGAACTACAGTACAGCCTTTGGGTATACTGCATATTATTCTGTACTGCTGCGGCTGGCAACGTCGACAAAGACGAAACAGGGAGGCATAGAGAAATGGAGAGAAAGACTTAATAAAAGGCACGTGCGTTCTACTCCTTAAAAAAATAGGGCATTTTACGAACGTAAATAAATTTTTAGGGTAGACTACGACGAGAGGCAGCCACGCGGTACTGCACCATGGTCGACTTCAAGTGGAGGAAGTTGCTTTGGTGGGAAAAGCTTGCATAGAAGAGAAGGGCTAGTCGCTAAGAGATGAGTGATCGGGAACAGTGATGTGCTGTGTGTAAGACGGACTGATGTCCATCAAGCAGAAACTGCCTGCAACAGTATGTATGAAAGACGCGGGAGAGGGGTGACAGCCATCTATGTGAATTTTTACTTGTCTGATTTGCGCATTCGGCTGGCAAAATGACTAATAGTAGAGAAAAACGTTACGGCCTTCTGATCCTTGGGGCTCATCATTCATTCCGTAAATGTTTATGGGAATTCTACCAATAACACAACTCATGATATGCTTCTGGTGTATGATATATAGGAAATGTTTATATATATATATGGAAACTTTCTTTTTACACTTTTGATGTATGATATATGTAGATATATATTCTACCTATATGGTTATTTGCTAATGCATCAAGGATTATCATGTAGCAATGCAGAGGAATATCGGGTATGTGCTAGGTGATATTGTTCGTAATGCCTATATCTAGTTAAAAAATCCTCCTTTTTTTGTATGCCTAGAGGCATAAGTGTTGGCGTTCATCAGTTAATGGAAAATTAGGGTTATCAATTAATGTTCATATATTCACAACTTCGTAAGCAGTTTTAAAGTAGTAATAATGTTAAAATCGATTAGTCATGTTTTGAAGTAGCTCCTTGCTTCCGCTGTGTGTCTCAGAGAACTCAGCTTGTCAAGACTGCCACTCCCTGAAGTGCCGCTGACAGCTGTTACTACAGACGATGCTATCCCGCTACCGTCTCCGGCTATGCATAGTACGGTGAAAGACGTTGGTGGTCATGCACATTTCTCTATATGGAGAAATCTATCCAGTGTATGAAGGGTGTCTAATTGTCTTTGGAAATGTCCTGCAAAGTGGGACAGATACTGCTAAGTTGAGCTTGGCGGAACAAGCAACTTGTTCTCTTTCAATGATAATAAATCACTTTCACAAGAAATTAATGTTACGTTATATATAATTAAACCTGGGCTAAACATTGGATGCTAATTAAGCGCTGTGCTTATCTATCTACAATTTTTATATCTACAATACGAAATAGGTACCAAACAGTTTTTCGCAACCTTAAACGCGGTTTTTTGAAATTGAATGGGAACATTTTTGAATAAAATTAAACGCACGAACAAAAGTAGTAATGAATGAACATTAGTTGTAACATCTGACCTGATTAGAAGATCCCTCTCTCTTGCTGCCTGTTCCATATCCAATGAGAATTATATACGCAGTCTATAGTAGCAGTAGTAACGGGACGCATAGTTCGGTCTCCCATTTCACCTTCTTTATGCCTCCACTTATTTCGTCTATTTGATTTGAAGCTTAAGAAGATACCGTAGCACTTCGAATGAAGGAATTAAAGAGTGGCTGAAGGTCTATGAAAGCACCGCCTAAATTTTGAATTCTCCCGGCGTTCTACGCACCAATTCAACACCAATTACAATAAGCAGTGTTTACTAAATCCAATCCTAGCTCTAATTAGTTTGTTTCTGAAAACATCTTATTTTTAATAATCTGCCATCCAACATGTTGAGTTGCTATGCATTTGAAAGAATCAGAGGTGCTTCGCGCGGACATCTACCACATCGACGTAGAATGGGTGCGCAGGACGCTCAAAAAATATTGGTAGCCGGCAGGAGAATTGATAAAAATGTAATATTTTGAAAATAAATTTTGCCCTTTTTTTGAGAAATTGACATTTGGATGATCACATGGGTTTGCTAAGATAAATGGGTTGTCGCAAACTGGTGAAGGCACATGCACGCAGCAAATAAAGGCAAGAGGTATTGAAACTATGAAAGGCCATTCTATGTTTTTCCGTTAAACACATATGTTTAAAAAATACATACCTAAAAAAAGCTCAAGCAGTTTAATCGAATGTGTAATTGCTTAGAATTTCTTACCAGAGCTAAAAGAAATAGGTTATCCATAGTGATGGCGAAGAAAACAGTTGTGAATATTTCGTTAGAACTAAGTTTGAAGCTCTGGACGTAACCCTTTAGTAAAAACTATTATATAAAAATAGACTAGGCACATAAAGTTTAAAGAACCGATTTTGCTAAGCAGTAAGCGTTGCTAAACATAAAGACTCGAAACAGAATTGCCATCGCTTTTTCCCCCGCTTTGTCTCAAAAATAAGCGTTATAACTTTAGCTCATATTTTTAGAAGGTCGACGAAAGATAGACTCGAAAAAGTATTTTTTTAGCGCCTTATAGGTAAATCTTAGAGGTTTCAAGAATAATTTAAGTCGCGTTAACTCCCACAACTGAGCAGGTATTCCAAATCCATTGGGATCTAAGACAAAAGGTTCACACACTTTATCCACTTGATAGTCGATCTGAATTGCCACTTTTTAATGCCTTTTTTTTTAATACTTTGAATGCCGTTAGCTCTTAAGAAAGAAATAAGTGTCCTTTTTATAATCTTCTGGTAGCATTTGGACTATAAACGGACTCGGGGACAAACAAAAGAGGTACCCATGGAAGTATTCATTCGTAGGTCCATCTTCTGACTTCTGTTCACCGTTTTAAATCCTTTACTTTATAGAGTGAATCATTTTACTTTAATCTAAATATTTTTAGGCCCATAAGGCAAGGTTTAGGCTTTCTCATTCATGACCTCTTAGAATTTCCGAGGTTGGCAATGCCATAGCCCTCGCACTTATTTTTTCTTTGCTAACTCTCTTTATTGAAGTAACACAAACGATTCCTTAGGGTTGTTGTCTTTCAACCTGCGTGAAAAACGTACAGAACAGGCCAAAAGTTTCGCATGATGACGTTGTCGACGTCGGCCGCGGTGCGGGCGCCGGTTAAGCCTCCGCGACTATGCGTATTGCGTAATGACCCTTGCACGCACAAATCCACTTCGTCTAGGTGGACTTTAGCCCGTTCGGAACAGTAAGTGTAACTTTCCACGCGTCTGGCTTTCCAATGCGGTAACTAGGACACACGAAAAAGCCTAAGCGGCAAAAAATATGAGAACTAACGTTCGTTCAGTAAGCCAACACGGCACAGTAACCCACTTGCACGTAGGCGTACAAACACGAGTGTTTAAGTGTGTTCGATTGTTAATCTCCTCACGAAGACAAATCATCTGGGACTAGTTTGCCATAACAGACAGGTTAGAGGCATCTTCCCTTAAAATTGCAAACAAGCAATATCGCTCATAGCTCGTACTATTCATCTCTACCACAGCGAAGTGTCGCTCCATTTCAAATCAATGAAGGGTCTCTTGGTGAGTGTACAAGTATAAATTTAGACGCGCATGTATATGTTTTCCTATGGGTATGATGATAGTGGACTGAACTGAGGATACAACTGAAACGGGAAGACATTCTGCATTTATATGCGGTGAGCACAATGAGACAATGTTAGTACCTATCTCGATCTATGTGTCCCTCTCGTTCGTGTCGAGGCTTCACGATGTTGAGCCTAATAAACACACCCGGCCGTTCCCATGGGGCGGCGCGTTGCCGAAACATTTCGGAATCTCGTCGATACTTCTGCTAGCTACATACAAGCTGTTCGCATTAGTCCTTCTGTCGTGCTTGGCACAGACAGTTCCCTTCTGGTTTCGAGCTCAGCTTAGATTTAGGATTTAGGAATCACCGACTTGACGCTCGAAATTCTAGTGTGACACTCCAAACTCATTGTTCCTGACTCCCGTCTGACTCTGCAGGCTGATTAGTCACGGTGGCGGCGATGACGGACGTGCTATGTAGCTCCGACTCAAAGAGGGGCAAAATATGAGTATGGTACGAAGAAACTCGAAAGACCGAACACGGGATACCAACAATGAAAACACGCTAAAGCATTTGTGTGATTAGTTATTATTAGGCTCACGTGCCCTGCGCTCTATTTTAGGGAGGACAACTTCTCAAAGCTATGACAAACAAACCAACGAGCCAGAAGCTACCATTTTCTTGCTGGCCCTTTCCTTTACCCCCACTTCTTATTTTGAACCCCCTTTCGCTGTCCCTCCGCACTGTTGTTGCTACATCCCTGCTTCCTTTAATTACAATGTTCTTTCTTCTCTGCCGGTTTGTCCGTCAGTGGCACTTACGGCCTTGGTTCTGCCAGTGTTGGCAACGACCGCGACGAGTATGACAACATAGTAATACCGATGGTCCTGGAAGCGTAGTTCATTAGTTAATTAATCGTCTTGTCGCCGTTGTAGTCAAATGTAGTAAGTTTGTATACGGTGAGCTAGCCTGATCTCCGGATATATGCTACCCATTGCTTTGAGGGAGGCTGCGTGCATCGCGCGGGGGAATACAGTGCGTAAGGCAGTTAGGTGGAACGAGCGTGATGCAAGATATGGTGACATGGATCGGGCAGAAAAGGGGGACATAAATGACACAAGATGAAAACAGAGAATGAAATGGAGCCGGAGTGCGTGGGACTGCCTAAGACAGCCCAAGCAAAAGAGAAAATTAAGAGATGGGCCTGCGGACCTAGGTTTTATGCCGTTGTCGCCCCCGACAGTGTCAAATTCTAGCGGTCTGTCGGGAAGACCGTTCACCGGACGGTAGTCTCCTGTTCCTGCGGAGGAGAAAAGGATTAGAGGTCAAATAGTTCCCGTTGTGTAAATAAGGTTGATATATCGTCTGCGGGTCGTCTGTAGGAATTGGTAAGTGAAAACGAGTGATCGGTGTACGGGTGTCGATTGCCAGAGCTCTGCATATGCACATTCAGATGTTAGAGATATCGACGGATTAACCTGGTACTCGACACAGCATTACCTCCTTATCGTGCAATGGTTAAAATGTAAAGGCAATCTTTTATTATTAATCTTTCCTTTAAACAAACTAAAAGTTAAACTAAGTTATGATCTATCTAGCGCATGTTATCACGTGCCTACGGCTACGATTGGTACGATCGCATTATGATCAGACGGGAGAAAATGATACAATAGATACCTGTTACTATTGTTTGCAAAGAAGAATTCTGTTTTGTGTTACTCGATCGTAGGGTTGTAGTTAGTTAACTTAGTGTCTATGCGCCAATGTAAAGTTTATGTACGAATACCTTTTCATTAAATTCTGACTTATGTCTGATTATTTAAGTTCTACCGAAACAATATGGTGAGATGCGAAGATCGGAACGAAAACGAGAAATATATCGTTTAATTGTATTTGGATTTTAATTTTTTACTTTTTTTTTGACGTAAAAGGACATCGTATCTACAGTAGGTTCTTGTATTTGTATATTCTATCCTATACGGTCGACTTCGTGCTACTGACATCTCCAAAGGCTAAAATGATCTGAACTAGTTTCACCTTGGTATACATCAGCACCACATTAGTGTAAGACACTATAAGAACTAGTCTATAATGCCGAGCTGTGTTTTTGTTTAGGATCCAGTCTCAGAAAAACGTAAACTCTGTATAAATTCAACAAAGTTAGTTGACATGACATATCGAAGTGTGTTATAATTAAATAATGTAAAATATATATAAAAATCTGTCCTGTAACTACTAAATGAAAGCATATGGATATAAGAGTACACGTGGACAAATTAGATTATCTAATTCAGGTGTTTTACTTCGCAAGCGCATATCTTCTATACCCCACATAATGGCATAAATAAATATATATGAAAAACTACAACTTTTATCTCTGGAAAGCACGTTTGGACCATTTATTCGATAGCAGAGCACCACAGTTGGACATGTGCGTGTTCCATAAAACAGCTTTAAGCGCAGATTACTACACTTCTGACATTTCAGTATAGCAGCTTTAGTTCGGATTAGTAATTATTGACCATACGCCGCTCAGATCGACTATGCACATGTAATAACAGTGTGAAAGCATTGCCTAGAGATAGGTTCTTTCGGGGGTAAAATTCGAGGGTCAGCTCGCCTCATATTTTAATTAAGGGCTATCCGCTGCATACTAGTTCTACTACGATGGCTTACTACTCACATGAATTGTAGTCGAAGTAACTATCAGCGAGCTACCATAAATTCAACTACGGGTTTGCAGTCGTCTCCTAAAAGTGTGCCCGTTGCCCAAGCAATTCCCACCACGCCTGCCATTTCCACCGTATCCGCCGTCAACTGAATTCCCCTTCGCTGAGTTATACACAGTACGTTAGTATAGAAGGCTTGATCTCTGGAGAAACTTCTGTTCCGAATCGCGAGTATGCTAGGCTTGCTCTAGGCATTTCCCCATCGATGCACACACTTGCCAACGAAATAGCGATTTCGTTCCACTCCGACGAATAATCTAGGACCGAAGCGCTTGTGCCATCTTAGTCAATTAACGGGGCAAGTCACTGAATCTTGAAAGATGGCTACTGCCCCCCCCCCCCCCCTGTTGCGTTTAGCCTCACCGACTATGAGAGGACACCGAATTCGGATGTTGCTTAATCTACTCCGGCTCTTGAGAGTCAGCGGTATAGAGATGCTGGTAATTGCTGAAGTTCGTGTATAAAAATATGTTAGTCTTTTTCTTAAGTTTAATTCTAATTAAGGTCACAAAAGAAAAGATGGAAATACATCGACAGGAAGCTCTTGAGAGGTGAACAGCTTTTTGTAGTGGCATACGTTGGATTTGCAATTTCATTATTCTTTAGTGCATTTTTTTTTTTATTATTCCAAATACAATGCTTTACAACAATTCTTGTTATAAATTTCGTGCCTAAGGTACGAAAAGCAGAAAATTCTGTCTTTACTAGAAAATACAGTTTGGTCGGTATAGCTTTATAACTGTCACATTTTGAAATCAAGATTCTTTTTAGTTATCAGATTCGCCTATTAGTTATTTAGCTCGGTTTGTGGAATTACTTTTTAATTTATTTATTGAACCGATGAATGGGCACCTAGTTTATTTAACAACTGCACACAGAATAAATCCGAATGTAAATTGTAGTTTTGTAAACTATCGTTTAAGGCCCCAACGTCATTGTTAGCCGCTTGGTACTGGCTCTTCAGACTCAGAACCCATAAGGAAGCTATTTTTATAGGGTTAAATAAAAGAAAAACTAAGCACTATAAGTTAATGAAGGGCTGACGACGTCATCGCTTCTGTATTTCTGGAAATGGACAACACACCTACAACGTATTTCGTGGGCGACCTATCGCTGTTGTACGTTTGTAGTTTTAGCCTTTTAGAATCACATGGTTCGTGTAACCTCAAAAATCGATTCAATGTGAGCATCAGTTTAACATGGCCTGCTAGGCTCATGCTGAAGCCCAGTCAAAGCTTTGCCGCTTTCCCATTGATGAGGCGATAATTGAGGAGACAGTATTGTTTAGCATAGGTTTAGAGGAAACCTGATGACAATTGAACCGATTTTAAAGGTTTCCTTTAGCCGACTCCTAAGCTCAGGAGTGCCTCACAGTTGCCTGTTCTTGAAACTCGCACCGATTTCGCATCCATGTGTCCTCGTCATCTATCTCTCCGGCGCTTCTGGTATATTCGTAAATTTCTTTCTTTCCTAGAAGACATCATTTTCCTTATTAGCCCTTTGACGACCCTGTACAATCTCAAGCCAAACTCGTCTTTTTTTTTTTTGTGCAAATTCATATACTCGCGTTATAATTGCGCTGAACTTCGCACACGGTTCGCACTGTAGAGTTTTATTAGTCATCGATAGGAACCAGTTGACGATTCATAAACCTTTCATTTGTGCTTTCACTCAGAGAACACCCTGAGAGATGTTCCGTTTCGATTTATTACGCTTCACTTACGTCATCGTTTTACCGAGAATATTGATTTTCTTAAGTTTGCTATGTAAAACGGATCAGACATAATTGGTACTACCTTTCTAATAATACATTACTTACAAAATCAAAACCATTACGCAATCCTTCCCTTCATACGTTACGTGTTCACATGATGCTCCACGTCACGTAGCTTTTTTCTAGAAATAGCGTAGCTAATCGTATTTCGTGAATGTAAGTTAAATATCTGCACATACACCAGCAACTGTTATTAATATGGGACGGAAAACTGTGAACTTTGGTTGATGATTAGGCCTAAGCCGATTGCTTCAGCCTAAAGCCTTCCACCTAAGGGCATTTGTTACAGTTGCATGTTTCATACCAGCACATGCAAGTAAGAAATACATACTACGTTTAAGGTCATGTGTGCATACATAAACGCCGGTATCCAGGCACAAATCTTTGACTTGTGTATACACGTACGTGAAAGAAGCCGTTGTTGATTGAAGATGATCCCCTGCCTGATTCCGATAAGCCAACATGTGGACTAACCTCAATCGTGTGCGCGGGCGGATGACTATATTACTCGCGCATTTGTCGCCCTACGGTTTCGCTATAAAAGAACCTGTATTAAGCCAGCAGTACTGAATTGCAACCGATTCACTTAAAATTAGGATGGAGCTTGTCCCGGTTGTCACGCAGTGTCCAATTTAAATTTACCCACCGCCTATGCTATGCTGAAGTCGCGGTTCTCGGTACCCCTCCGGAAGGACGAAGAACTGTATAGAGATTTGGTGAATTCAACTGAATTTTAGATCTTTTTCTTTCCCCACATATACAAAGGGCAAAATGCAGACCAATTCGCTTATCAACTAAACGGTCTAGGTATACCGGTGAATGACGGCTCATCAGATCCTGTTATTTCTGCTTTAGCATAATTTTTTAAATACTGTAGTTCAAAACCCCGCCTCGAACTGTAATCGTAGCCGTAATTTTCGAGCGTGAGTGTAACAGAGTCCCAATTGTTCCATTCTTTCAACAAGTAACTGAAAGTTTTTTTTTTTTATACAACTTGAACCACTTTTGCCATTTAAAACGTAAATCAAACAACTATATGTTTCTTTTATCGCCTTTTCTTACCAGATCTTATGGCCATACACATGTGCCACATAATGAAAATATGTTTGAGCAAAAACGACATATTTTCCGCGTAACTGAGAGCTGAGAGTAAGCCTGCAATTTTCATCCGTTAACATAGCCAACATATGGCTGCTATGGGAACAGATCTAGCACGCAGCACGGTAGCATAACTGAATGACATTAACCGGCCACATAATGTATGTGATAACGAGAAGCAATGATCCAGGACCACGAGTTCATCATGTGCTCCATAACGCTTCGACTGGCCAGCTGCTTCTCTTACCTCCTCGTTCTTGACGAAACTTGCGATTACGGCACTGTAAGTCTGAGAAGGCTTAAAGAAATTCCGTGACCACTTTCCAGTCGACAACTGTTGATGCGCCGACATTTCCTTTAGGTTTCTTCGATTCTCCATCGATGAAAGTGATCCGCTAGTGAAGGAGAATATTACCATTTGATTATAAGAATATGATCTCGATTAAGATAAACGCCTGACTGCCTTTTTCGAGTGAGGGAAGAGCGTTCTCTAACTTCTAAACCGATTGGTAAAGCTATTGTTCCACGTGCTACCATATTCAGGCCGTGGGTGCCGCTCCCTCTATCGTCATTGATCGTTTCTATCAAAATTATTCCCCCTTCTGTACAGGTTTTTTCATGTCGCACTTTCCTATGTCCTCTTTCTGATCCTCTAGCGGGCTGCTTCTACAAAGACACGTTTGCACGACGAAAGTTGCCGCTGAAATCCGAGCACGAAAATCTCCAAAACTTTTAGTCTCACGCCTTTAACACAACTACACATATTTACTGTAATTAACTGTAATCAAGTCATGGTTGGTTAAGTGCAACAGGGCTGGCCACAAGAAAGCTTTTCCAGATACTAAAAAAACTGAAAAGAATATGAATCAATGTATATGTCATTTTGCTCATTGCATAGACAATATAGGGAAAATTGTTGGACAAAACAGATAGCAAAAGTTATGTTCTTCTGTATGCATGGTCATATAGAAATAAGTGTAGTACTCATATAACGCTGAACTATTTGTGAAAGACAAGCTCGACGTTGGCCAACCGTCTGGCTTAGCTAGGAATAGAGTCAGATTAAAGTACTACCTATTCATTTAATGTGTTTTTGATATAGTCAGCGCGTGCTCAGTGACTGATACATTGATACTGATTATAAGGCCTTGTTTAAAAGTGAGAAAAGAATTACCTAAAGGAGCGTAGCACGTAAGAGATAAATGCCTGCTTTTCTCAGTAAGTACTCTCTCTAATATTATGTGGTTTAAAATATTTGAAAAAGCTATAAACACTGAGTGAGTACCCGTTCATTATAAACACGAGTTTACCATACTTGCTTATGCGAGCACGGGCACCAACCATTCATCAACGGTCACTCCCTGCTCCGTGGCTCTTTCCGTTTTTTCTTCGTACTAATTTTCAGCAGGTATACAGAGAGACGTACAAGAATCACAGATAATATAAGCTAATGTTGGCGGGGCAGTGGTTAGCATGTTTCGAAAATATCGAAATTATGACGCGTGCCGTCAAACTGCGTTTACGAGTCTCTTATTAAAGATTGCCGTCGTTAATTGTTTGAAGAATGAATGTTGTTGTATTATACCCACGATTGGTCATCGTGGGTTGTTTTTCCTTTTTGAATTGCAAAAGTTTTCTATCAGTTGTCTTGCTGAACTGGCAAGTACTGTTCCTTAGACAATGGGACCTCAAAGGCGAAAATTCGTGAACGTTTTCGGTATGTGTAATGAGCAACTGAACTCTAACGGCGTACTTGATACTATTTACCAATTGCCTCAACAAACTCTTCAACGAAAATGACGCATGCGTCAACAAATGCTGTTGTGATCGGTTATTCTACTATCGATTATTTAATAATTAAGTAGAACCATTCTAGATTTTGCTATTTTTTGTTATGATAATAATAATTATTATTATTATTGTAGAATAGGTTTAACATAGCTTCGATTACTGTAAGTTGAAATCGCGGTTTAAGGATCTATGCGTAGCGTTAATCTCTATTATGTCCTTTTGCTTATTCGCAAGCAGGTGTTTAGTGGTAAAAATTTTCTTTCGCTATGATAGTAGCTAATATCGGATCTCGTGTTAACTTTATGTTATACTATATAGGTCTATGACCTTAAAGAACAGTCTGTATCTGACACAAAATTGTAGCAAGACTGTATGATAATACTAAACGTAAATAAATAAAAACCTAATACTAGTTTCACATTGAATGTAGATATTAAATGACCCTTGTTCCAAGACCACCATAACACTAGGCGTTCCCCAGACGTATCGCTTTAATATTCAAATCATTCAGCCATGTCATAGCATTGATGCAGTCGGTATAAATATATCAAAGCTCAACCCAGCTGTAGATAACTCACTTACGCAACGCGCTCTAGCGGCTTGCTCATGCAACAAGTATATAACTTTATGTCTGCGCCGGAATCATCGGGCCGCTGCTACTGCTAGCTTCACTATCGACTAGGTTACGCTTTGACTTCAAAACTTACGTTTTTTCAGTACGCGTCGTACTAATCGATGCATTCATTGACAGTAATCGGTTATCCGGAATCGATTCCTCTGTTGACTCGTGGATCCATTCAGGACTGGTTGTGCACAAACAAACGACTGACTACACTCTCTGCCCTGGGTGCAAGTAAATCGATATCTCTTTGCGTTATGTACAAACTGAAGGCGGAAATAGAGGTGACTCAGATATTTGCATTATTTCGTCACAGTTTTAACTGAACTTCGATTCTTTATTTTTGCAGGTTTTCCTTCCACTTTGTGCAATTCTTTTCCTTCTGTTGTTTATAAATGACTTTGTACCGTACTCACTCACCTCGCGCACAATTCTTGGCTTGTAGGCTTTGGGGTAAGAATTAAACTATACAATACGTAAATGGGCTTTGCTAACGTTCCGACAGCTTAATGACTCTAGATCTTGACACAACACCAATGGCACCCTTCAATCTGAAGGTTTTTTTAGCCCAGCGAGATGCTCACATCGACAGGTAAAGCTACATCGTCCAAAAGGTACCGCCGTGATAACCCTGTCAGCGATTCTACGTAGCATCAACTTCAATGAACGAATACAGAACCGCGTTCTTGTTATTTGTCACGTTTAACAGGAATATTAACTTTTTGTACTGAAACATTGGTACATCAGTCACCTTGCATCCGGAATCCACCTCTATCGTTACTTCAACATATCCGGTATGAACCACATCAAGTCAGTTCATAAGTATGAAAATTAACGCATTTGTTACTAGTATTGGTACTATTTTGGATAACGTATAATGCATTAGCATATCTCCAGAGAATTAACCTTAAACTCACTCCAACAATCTTTTTCCAGAGGTGATGCGTCCACACGTTGGGCCCACGTCCCTGCAACGAATGCACTGGCCACCCTTGAAGATTGCATCAGATCGCATCTGGAGAATGCTCGCTGGCTTTAGTTATTTTGCAGAGTGGCGCACGGGGTTTGCCTTACGGGAGTATCGTCACTTTCTACAGCATTAGCTTCTTTGAAAGCCGCTATTGTCACTGTTTCGTCAATTTAATTTCCGAGCAAATTTCTGTACCATTTGGCCAAATTTTTGGCTTTGATATTCCAAACAGTCAATCGGTATACGGGCTTTCTGAGTGTATATAGGCTGCGTACTTCGCCGAGGTCGTCGCAACTATTCATTGCTGGGACTTCTAAGTAAATCTGATCCCTTTAGTCACTAAATGGGCCCGACGTAAGGTAAATTAATAACGTCACAACTTGCTTTGATTTTTGGTGTTTGATGATAGAATCGTCGACTTTGCTATTGTATGAGGCCCGTTGCTCAACGTCTTCGCAGAATTTTGAAACTGAAGCCATGCCTGTCGATCGGCACACGCGTGTAATTTGGCACATGCGTCAAGGAAAATGTGTCTCCGCTTATGCTCGGGTGTTTGTTTACCTCTGGTACTAAGTCTCGGCTGTCGATAGTGCGGGCGTTTCGTAATTCATGTCCTTTCAGTGCACTCCAACGTTATACTTTCCATGGATTTTTTCTTTCTCTGTCCTAAGTCTTTCCTGTAATGACAGAGAGCAAATATACAATTACCGCATTTGTACGCTGAACATTATCGTCTCTTTATTGTCATTGCCTAAGTTGAGGAACAAGCTTTTTGATATCAATGAAATTTATGTGTCGTGCATTGATTCTTTGTGCTTGTCTTAAAGATTGCCGCTGTTTAGAGAAAAACTCGTTCGACAGGTGTTCAATATCCCTTGAGCTCCGAAAAGATAAGTGACTCCAATTCATCGGCATTCCCAAAAGAACTGCCATTTACCTTACCTGGTGGTAGGCTCAAGGTGAAGTGCTAAGAAGGTGTTACTCCCTTAAGGCTATGATGGTCTTTTATCAGGGCTCTCTAAGGGCTATTAGGTCCTGCGACTATCATGAACAGCATCAAATTCCAGAGCTCTTGGGTCGAGTAAGGCACATATGTTACACTTCCTATTTTTCTACCAAATGTCTTGGCCATAGAGTTCTATATAACCTGAGTACATTCTATATGTAGGGATAATTGGAGGTGAAGTTTCTCAGCGGTCTGTAATGTTTGATTTAGACGGTCAAGATTTGAAAAATTGTTGGTCGCATGGATCCTGTTCTCGTACAAATCAGAGTTGACTCAATATAAACGGACGGCTTTGAGGGTTCCACATGCTTCTGTGAATACAAAGTTACTCAGAGATCTTTTTCCTCTTGTTTGTTCACTCAAAGTCGGCATGACCTATGGATTTCAGAATAGGATCCAAAGTAAAAATAATGTTACATCGATTTTAAGCACTTCATATAGCTGCGTAACTTATAGTATTAAAAACTTTTAGTTACTCGTGTCCGCGTTTTAAATATTGTTTGTTCGTCGTAATAAGTTTAAAATGATTCGAAGCCTAAAATGGACGAAGGATATCTTGCAAGTAAACACAACATTCAGTCTTGGCTCAGTAGTTAAGTAAGGAAATAAAAACAGGACATAAAATTATGTAGACTTTGAGTAACTAATGGAATACTCCAAGAGTAGCTTATATATATATATATATATACTCTCCCTATTTCCCCTGCGTGTTTCGTCGACTTTAATCGCTGTATATTTATATGGGTGATTATTGCTATACATTGGTTTTCCTTAACAACTGCTTGATATTAGTTCTAAAAGTCCTAATCATTGTTGTGGGTAAACTTGAGTTGAGAAAATTTTATGACAAAAACATATCTTAGAAAAAACAAATCTTCATATTTGAAAATTTAAGAGCGGCCGAGACTATTCCGATATTGAGGGCTAGCAGGCGGCGCTGCTGAGTTGGGCACGTAATTTCTAGCAGTTAGTATACTTCGATCTTTATGTCAAGAAGTGTTATCGGTTGCATAAATCTCAGACTGCCTCCCCCTTTTCGACAGACCTAAAAGCATTCCTTTTACTCCTTGTATGTATGTATGTATGTAACATGCATCCCATGCGTCTAAGATTTGGAAACAAGCATGTTACGATTAAAAAAATCTCGCAAATTCACTTTTTAGCGATAACTTTACGTGAGGTTAATTACTACTGTCACTTTGTGGCTGTTTCTGCTGAGGGAGACAGCGCAGATACCCTAAAAGACCACTCACGTAACTGCTGGTACAATAGTAAAATGCCTTTTTTCCGTTTTGCCAAATTTGATCCTACGGATCACCAAATTATCTTCTGCCTTTCGAATTTGTCCACAATTGCCCTATTCTCTGTAACGTAGAGCAATGTGCCCTCCGTACCAAGATAAAGCACTTTGAAACTAACATATTCACCGGTCTTTTTGCACGTTTGTAAAGGCTTTCGTTGCTTGAGGACATCTACAAAGCCTAACCGTTTTAGCTGGACGATTATTTTCGATTGAAAGTTTAACTTTTTCAAAAATGAAAATAAATTCGGACAAGAACTTTTTTAGAGACTTGTAGTAACAGGAATAATAATAACAGCGGAAAATGGAGTTTTCTTATCGAATCATTGGAAAATATTGCTACTAAGGAAGTAATAGGCTATTCCAAACCGCAGGAAAGATAACAGTTTTCTAATGTATAGAGGAATTCGATCCCTTTACGCAACAGACTCTCGATTTTAGCATCCTCAATACATGAACACTACCCAAGTCCTTTGCACTAGATATGAAAACAACTTACAAACGCTTGTTTTTAATAAATATATGTTTAGGTGCTCATGTTTGTTGGCCGATTAAAGTAAACTTTTACATTGATTGAAATTATTTGCGAACTTACCTCAATAGGGTCCTTGATTTAAAATTAAACCAATTGTTTTGTATGGACTTTGTGATAAGAACGAAGCAGTACCATTACACTCAAGTATTTTTAAAGATTGGTTCTACTGAATCTAGAGCAATCTCCCGCTCTCGACAACTTTTTAACGAACCGACATTGTACTTACTCCTGTGGCTAGTACATTATTACCGAAATAGCAAAGCAATACACATAGAACAAATAGAAATATAATTCAGCATAGCTGTGTCGTTCACAGACGTCATAAGACGTGACGTTTTCGAGCGCTAGAAACAGCAAAATCGTATTAATTATTTGTACAAAAATTTCGATTGACAACCATCCTTTTAGACGAATCGGCCATGAATACAGGTGTTTTTTGGCAAAATTTTTTCCGCAGCTAACATTCTATGAACGGCTAAGGGCAACACGATTTTCTATACGTCACTCTGTTTGGGAGTAAAGTTTCATTGACGACAAAGCGAACAAGAAAGCATGTGAAGTCATCTAACCGCCATACGTACTCTCTTCGATTTGTATCCGATATCAAACCGCTAGTTCTGTGCATCGACTGTAGCTACTGTAGCGCGGTCATTTTGAAAACATCGAGAATGTTCTGTTTATCGTACATGACTGTGTGCAGAAAAAGCAATCGTACATGCTATCCCTAAGGTTTTTCGAGTTGATATTCCCCGGCTTATAAAGTGGCTTGTAAGCTAATCTGATGTAGCTTGTACTCGACATAAATGTCTGTGTTATTTCAAATGCTGCTAAAGACATTAATCCAAAATACTAGTGCTTTTAGCGGTACATAGTTACAATTTGCCGGTCTGCTAATATTAGAAAAATCGACAAGTAAAGGAAAAGTCTATTTGTCTTGACGATACGTAGCTTCTAAAGGCTTTCGTCAATGTTTAAATTTTTTGGTTTTACTGAAAAGTGTATTTTTGTTTCGTTTCCTTCATTACAAATACGCATGTATCGTCCGTTGCCGGTACGAAAAGTATGAATACTGTTGATATGTGATAGATTGAGTATAGTTTGGATTGGTACAATGCAATTTCGCGTTTTTCGTGTTTTAAATACTCTGGAAAGTTTAAGCCATAACATCTGAACTACAGTAGTTACGATTCACCTGCAGAGATTGCCGCATCTCCAAGAAATCTATGTTTGACCATTAGAAGATGCGTGCCTAAAATCGCCACTACGGACAACAAAACGAAATTTATTATTTTACTGAACTTAAATTGTTATTCAACAAAATATCCATATACCGTTCTTCCGAATGTATTGGTCGTTGTTAGATTTGAAATTGAAAGTGCTATTTAATTTTAGCTCAACACATACAACCAGCTTATCCAGTATATTGAACTCTTAAAGTACAATGGAAATTCGAAAACGTGTTTAAACACTGCCACACCTCTTCACACATCTATTCTGGCCCGATACGTGACAAATCTATTTACCACATTCTTCGTTTACTTCAGTACTTTTTCTGTATAATTTTATAGCATGTACGTTGAAAAATCTCATATTGAATTGACGCCGTATTTTTCGTGCTCTGTGTTCCTCAAAAGCCTCCATGATCACAGCAGCTTGTTCATCACACTTAATGGCTTATTTGATTTTATGGGGCATCATTATTCCATAATACTACAGAACGTACTACCTAGTCATCTTGCCTTTGTAGCCATCACTTTTACTGTTTATACTATATTGACGGCTTAAACGAACAATTTATTGCCGCTGCAAGTAACTTCGGTAAATGGCGAGCGGTTTGCTAGCTACAGCGAATCGGGTTCAAGCGTTTGCATATTTATAGCCCTTCGCTTCTTTATAAATCGCTAGCTTTCCGTAGCAATCTATGTTTAGACGAAGTCCTCGAAACACCGAAGATCTTACGATTTTCATAACTTGTGTACAGGATGCTTGACAAGTTAGGACGCTACATCGAAGAAACTTTAGAAATCGTTGTATTATACGTGAAAAAAGCACTATATAATCGTAACTTTCCACTGTGTAATAAGAACACTATATGAATTGGATATGAACCGGTTCCGGTTCCCTTCTCAGTGACTCGAACAACCCTATTCAATATCTGGTGTAAAGATCCCTATATCCTCATTCACGCTGCCTAATTCTAATTAGTGTTAGCACCCCTCGACCCCCCAACTTACCAACTTCTTGTAAGTAGAAAATAGCCTATAAAATGTTGTAACCGTATAGGGGGCGATTGCTTTGGGTACGTTTCCATAAAAAATAAATTTCATTTTTATAGGTACAAGTCGTGCATATTGTGCACGTTGGCCTTGAACAAGCGGCATTGCATTCGAGCTTCTCAGCATCCAGATATTCAGTCTAAGCCGAATGAACCAACATGGCGTTATTTTTATGCGATATCAAAAGTCAACAATTTTCTGATGGAATGGCTTTGCCGCCGAGGCCGTCAGCCAGTATGGTTCGAGGGCCGCTTAGTCATATACTTTATAGAGTACGCACATATTTAGATATACCCTATTCGCTTCATATTAGCCTATATTAAGGGTGCATGTTTTTATTCGTGAACATTTTAAGTAAACTATGTATATGCTCTGTGTCGCATAAAAAAGAAAAACAACAAAGCATATATATACATATATGCTCTGTTGTTATATATATTTGTGTATATGGTTTAAACACGGACAAGTCAGAGGTAGCTTCGTCGGTTGTCCGAGCACCCGCTTAATGGCGCGGCATGGCAATGAAGCATTTAATGATATTTCATTACTTCAATTTTTCTTCAGCTTTGCCGGGCAATTGGATCCGTTGCTATTAAAAGGATTCCGCAGGAGAGACAATTGGGAGGCTGGTAGAAAAAATTCTCTGAAGGAACTGCTATCTGCGGAGACTGCTCAGACCAAACATAATATATCGCAGAACCCTCCTGCACTCTGTGTTATTACATTTCCCATTAACGACAAGAGCTCCCCAAGTTCGCCCAAATGCTCTTGAAACATAAAACTAACTACCTAGTGTTCTTATTTTATGGGAAGAACGGACCATTCTTAGATCTACTTATGTATCATGAAAAAATGAGATAATTCGAAAATAAACTACGATATCCTTACTCTTGTTGTCCATATTTATTTCTTCGCTATTATAGAATAATGGCAAGGAATAACACTTGCTCGCTTTTTCCACTGCTTTCAACACGTTTTGAAGATCCCGTTTTGAGAAGATAAAGAAAATTTCGTCTTTGTAAAACCTGTGCGGATCAATTAAACGCGTTGGTTTTGGTTTTGCACTCAATATCAAGACCGCGATAACTGAGCTTTGTACTGTGATAGAGAATTATTAAAATAACAAAAGAATTTTGGCTAATACCAACAGATCTGTCGAATAGTAGCTACTCTTTACATGGGATTTTAATCGTAAACTAAACACTACGTAAGAAATTCAAATCTTCGATAACACGTTCAAGTACATGCCAACTTAAGCGCCCTCTCCAAAAACTGATAATTGAAAACTTCAATAGTTAGCCTATTTTTAATAAAAGTTTAAGCTCGGGCTGGCGTCCAGTAGTTCAATGATAAATAGTATGTATCTTTGTTTCATAACGTTTAAAAATTTATTAAACAACTAAAAACAATTAAAAATATACACATTTTTAGAGGACGAGCAATATCAATTTACACACAACAACAATAACAACAAACATGTCTGTTTTAGTAAGATGCTTTAGCAGGTTAATCGAATGACGCTACTAGGAGAATCGAAGAAAAAAATACATGTACTACTTTTATTTGATAAACATTGATAAAAACTGACAAACGATTTTGTGAAAGAAAAAAGATCCGGACGAAACTTTCTATGCCTATTTAGTGTGCTACAGGGTTGTGCTCTTGAGGCCATATTGTTCCAAAGTGACTATCTGAAATCGAGCTTCTTTTAAACTTTAAGCAAAGGACTTGAATTCGTATCGAAATCCTGACAACACCAAAGTTATAAGTTGTTGAAAGAATCCATCCATGAATTCTGAAGTATGCGCTCAAGCCAACAAGTTTCTATCCATTTTAAACTGTGCCGCTTTTTCAACGCGAAAAAACGTTCACTTACGTAAAACGTAATGCAACACAAATACAAAATATATACTTATAATTTCGCTTCATCTTTGTGCTTAATTACATGTAAAAATTGTGCACAAGTGACGATGCCTAAATTAAATGAAGGGAGTACGCGAATGTTTTTGTATGAAAGATAGAAACTGGCAAAGAAAAAAACATTACGCATAGGCCATGCACTGGGGCGGATTCTGTTCCAGCCCAGAATAGAAACAAATCGAAGGGGCTAATAAATTGTGGTGAATGAATCTGCGCGTTAGCTAACGTTGTCATTCAGTCCGCAATGTCATAATTTCTTCCAGTGTATGACAAACAAGGGTTAGCGTGCAGCTCTAGCATTTAGTACTGCTGGCAGTACTCTTTAAAAGCAGAGAGATGATTGCATAAGTCAACATACCTCATGGGAGTCTATACGATGCCCTTGTAGCATGTCTATGACGCATGTTAGCTATGCAGGAGAACCAACAGGTGAAAGCCTTCGATTGTGCTGCTAATTATACATTTTTTGTTTAGTAATAAAAAATGGCATCGATATTTAGAGCTTATTGTAAATTCTAGTTCTATTATTAATTAAAACCTTGGTAATAAAGTTAGAAATTATCGGTCGGCAGCAGGCAAGCTTGCCATAAATAATACAGTTAATTAACTGTGTATTATCAAGTTACTCCCGAAGCTTCTGTGTTTTTGACAGCGTGTTGTTTGGAACTTTGTGGGTGAGGACAGTAGATAACGGCGTCATCGCTGCACTATCAATGAAATCGATTAGATTAACCAATAGTCAATAACCCTTCATATGAAGATACTGTGAACTACAAAAACAATAAAAGAGATAACAAAGTACGTTCAGATAATCGATTTTTTGTCTGAAAAAAAACACGCATTTACGATATTTACGGACAAAGAAGACTAGATCGTACGGTGTCCGTTAAGGATCTTTGTCGCGTCCACGGAACATAGACAAGCGACTGCTTACTTGAGCATATGCTATAACTTCCAATAGTGTTCTCCACTTCGAAGAGCAAAGCTTCAGACATTCGTTCAACGTGCACGCACGCTAGGTTAGCTTTTGACTCGTACATGACTGTTCAACATCGTCCACCTCACCGCTTGTGGACTAATGGTGAGCAAAAACTTCCATAAGGCCTAGTTGAATATGGTGGTACACTAATAACGGAAATTAACTGGGCAGGCTGGGTTCGATGCCAATTGTATACGATTGAATAAAACGTCTGCCCGTAAGGAAGGATAACTTTCAGCTACCATTATTGCTAAGTCCTTTTTACTGGCTACTGATGTAGCCAGCAAAAGCGAGTGCGGTCATTTCCATCTAGCCGTTGTCGTTTCTAGTTGTTGCAAATTTGCGGATTGCAAGGGTGCTATT